AGTGGTAGGTTGACGACAGGTGGACTTGGGACAGGAAATTTTATGTGTCAATTGGACTGGATCATGGGATATACTGATAGCTGATTAAAGTTTTAGGATATATCTTTGAGTGTGTTTTGGAAAGCATTTAGTATTTTAGTTGATGTACTAAAGTAGTTGGCTATAACCCATTTACTGGCAGAACCTGGGTGACTGAAGCCATAAAAAGATGAGGGGACTACAGAGACCAGCTCAATAGCCACTTTATTGAAGCATACTACTGCTTTTATAAACTCCTTTTACACAGAGAGCATTTGGTCAGAAAAAGCATGCCAAGTATTATGTGTCAAGGTTATTATGTTATTATGTGTCACAGGGAAGCACAGTTAAAATTAACTCTTTGTTATGTCTCTTTTAAAATGGGAACAGGAGAATCAGGAGAAGCACATGGTCAGCGTACCTTTTTTTTTTTTTACATCTGAAGGACACGAAGCCATCTGGGAACCTGGAATACTGTTTTTCTGGACGTCTGGCTTCCTCACAAGGCCAGATACCAACTCACACAGGCAAGGTCTGCTCTGAGACTTTTGCCCCAGTTCCTTGGAGCTTTCTCACAAGGCCAGATGCCAATTCACACAAGCACAGTCCCACTGCTGCCTCTGACAGTTGGCCTTTCCCAATTTGTGTAGGGATCATCCTGTCCTGGCCTAAATAAAATAACAAAGTGGTGAAAAGTTGTTTTCTTTGCCTGTTTCCACTGATTTTCTGACTTTGGCATTTCTGGTTCTCAGGCCTTTAGATTAAAAATTGGCTATTGGATTCTTAAGCCTTTGAACTAAACCACTGATTTCCTTTATCTTTGAGTTGCAGATGTCAAATAAAGAATTTGTCACCCTCCATAAGTGTTTATTATAAGTCAATGTCTTATAATTATCTCTTTCTAGATAATGATAGGTGGATGGTGGATAGACATAGCTATAGAAAACTATAGATAGATATAGATAGATATTTTATTTCTTACAATTCTCTGGAGAACCATGACCAAACAAATACTCATTGTACATTTTGTAAAGTTCTTTGAAAATGAAGGAAAATATCATGATACAACTGTTAGCAGTTGCTTTCAAGTAAAACTCACATAGAAGGTGACATCTGAGAAGTGGTAAACATAACATTCTTTAAGCATGTGAACATATTGTATATGAAATTTCTTTGAAAAATGAGACCCAAAAATTGAAATATAAACTCATATTTTAACATATCATAATTTTATATAAGCATAGTGCAGTAGTTTGTACATAAGTGTTTGTGAAATTGACATAAATCTAATAGCACAAATACCTAGACTGCAGTAAGTTTATTACTCTTTTTTAATAATAATGAGTCCAGAGGGATTGCTAAGAATCACTGCTGCATGTCCACTGACTTTAAAGTTTTTCCATAGTAATCAAAAGCTTTATACATATGAGCAAATATTTTCACAAAAACTGACTCTTTGTGGAGACTATGATATGGAGAAATATCGTGGAGGAGCTATTTAATCTCAATAATAAAACATACAAAATATGCAATTATTTAAAATAAATACCATTATTTTATACTTTTTGCAGTCCAGCTCACAAGCTTAGAGCAAATTATTTGCCCTGTCATTTAAGAGTTAAGTTGAAGGGAGTGTGTAAAGAGAGTGGAAAATAAGAAGGTGGGTGTCTCATATATCAACCTTACTGAAATGTGGTAATGGAGCTTTGATTTTATGTCATTATTGTAAATATCAGAAAAAAGTTGTAAGAAGATCTATAATACTTTATTCCTTTAAATAGATAACTGATGGAAGTCTGTATCCACCTGCCCAAAGCAGGGTGAGAAATAGAAGCAGATGATAAAAATCGTTAGAATATTTGCATAGTGTCATATAAGTAATGAACGTAGGATGCATAGAAACTCCAGTTTGACTTATTTCTAGATATTTTGACATAAAAATTTTGCTTCACTGATTGTTTTAGAAGAGTGGTTTCCTTAATGTGATCCCAAATCAATAACTTTAACATTAGTGAATCAAATACTACAGTGGGGGAACCAATTAATTGTATTGTCATGATATCTCTTGATGATTCTGATGCCCACAACACTCAAAATAACAACTCTTTTAAGAAACAAAAAAAGGAAGCATATCTGGAGAAATTTGGACTCACACCTAGATACATCTTCAACATTCTGTCATAGCCAGTCTTAAACCAGACTGAAAAATACTGTTTTTGTTTTAAAAATTTGTTTTTATCTAAGTACTAAACATGTGGTTTCTTTGGGTAAAGCTAGAATAATTTTACAATCAATCCATTAAAAAATGGAAGGTTTTATAAAATGTTAAAAAATATGTAGATAGATAGAGATAGATGGATAGATACATAGATAGATAGATAGATAGTTAGATAGATAGATACACATGTACATAAAGGGATTGGAACTACAAATCATTTTAAATCTCCAGGTTAGGAAATTAATGTATCTTCATAATACAGAATATTTCTATGTTATTTTATTTCCATGTGATAGTTTAAAATATGAGCTGTTTTTGAGACAAAAGGGTAAACCTTCTTAATTGATGCCCTCTTATATAAGACAAATGATCCATTAGTATAATCTCAATATTCATTAAAGAATATTTAATGAGTAACAAATATTATGGTAGAAGAAATAGATTCTGGTTCACATTAACAATCTAATTTTCAGGTCATAATAATAAAAGAATAAAACAAATATGATAATTAAAAAGAAATCATTACAATGGGAACATAACAAAATAATAAAAATCAACAGATTCTGGTCATACAATAAACATGAGTTCTCTGGGAAGAAAGAATAATAACAGCTGGACTGTGATCCACTCACTGTTTCTGAGGTTCCAGGGTTCCCCCCAGGGGAACAAAAACAGGTCTGATGGCTTGATCTAAACTTGTGAGCTAAAACACCCAGAAGTGTACAATAATGATATAATTTTACATACATATTTGTATCCTTTAATAATTAAGAATGAATATATTCTCTGTGATATTTTGTCACAGAGCCAGTTTTAGTAAAAAGTAGGTCAATTTATGTGTATGATGCTTTGATGCTATTATTTAAGTGAAATGACATGAAACAGCCATCCATGTAATGACTCTGGGTTCATTTTGTTATTATGAGTTACAGAGTTTTACTGCATTCTAGGTTTTTGTGTTGTCAGACTCATTTCCATTTCACAAATATTTCTGAAATACTTATGGAGGGTCTCATGTATGCAAGCTACTGTATTACATATAGAAAAAGATAGAGGAGTAGGACTTTAAGTTGTAGTCTATAAGATCTGGTAGGCCAAAAATCACTATTGCACAGGGTCAAACATGGCCTAAGAAAGATAACTAAGCTATTAAATGTTTCAAATGAGTGAACTTTCTTATGTTCGTTGAGGTTATCTGGAAGCCCTACACGGAAGCTGTCACATGGTAACATTTTAGTTAGACCTTGAAAAATCTTTCAATTGTAAATTAAAATGGGGACATTTGTAGGGAGATATGGTGGTGATTGTCTACGGAAGGGTCTAATGAATAAAAGCATGTACCTAAGAGAGTAAGGTAGGTCCAGAAGTCACTCAGTAATGTATTTTGGGTGTAACACTAATTCCATTTAGGGAATTGTGAAGGAAGATACTTGAGTTAAATCAAGTTTCATTAGAAAAGATCCCAAAATCATGCCAAGGTGAATAAATACAGGGTGAAGAAAGGAATACACACAGATTATAGGAAATATATTCACATAAACATACACATGCCATATCTATATTTGAGAGAGAGAGAGAATTACATTATATGTGTAAACACATAGGTAAGTGATTTTTAGGGTGAATTCCTCAATGGTATTAGTAGAAATGTGCATGGAGTTCCAATGCTGAGAAAGGAAAAGCAAAGGGGAGCTGCAGATTGATCATTCATTCTGCACAGAAACTGTGGCATGCCGGAGCAGCTAACAATCAAGGATTTTTTAGGCAGAAAAATATTCAAATGCTTATTAATTTTCAGATCTTTGCCAGAAACCACCGGGCATTATGAAATTATACTATGATACCATTATTTGATCTTTGATAAAATACACTTAAATCTCCTCTTTTTCAGATATAAACTCCAATAATTAGATATTACTGCTTTCTCTATATCAATAGATAGATTTTTTTTAAATTCTAGGGTAATTGAGACCCTTTTCTTCCTATTTTCCAACTCTTTTCTTTACATACTCCTTTCAACTTAACTCCTCAATATAATCTGCTAGCATTCTGAATTAGTAAAACTTTCCAGATTTTCAAACATGAACATAGAGCAGGAAAAGACCTGTTCTATTAGGAGTGTTAGACCTGTTAGGAGACATCGTAAGGAGTGAGAGGTATCTGGCTTCTTCTCATTCAAATAGGCACACTCAGCTCAGAGCAGCAGCTAACAGTTCTGCTGTGCCTTCAAGGTCATAATTCTGTCATTTCACTCACTTTTCTGTTTATGTCTCTGCGTGATCGTAAGCTGAAGTGCTACAAGATATTTCCCAAGTAGAGTGCAATGACAGACTTTTTGATAATCAGCCATATTTCAGGGTTTTGGGGCAATTCACAAAAACACAAATCTGCTTCCTCTAGTCAGGTAAATATGATATTTCTACAAGTTATATATTTGTATTTTATTGTCAAAGACATCATATCCAAGTCTATTTTGTAAAAATAATACCATATTTTAATACTTAGAAGAACATACACAGTGTACACAGTTTTCACTTATTTTTTGCTGTAATTATTCTAGTATGTTACAATATTTGATAAAAATTCTTGTATGTTTTTAAAAATACACATGAAAACGATTCAAAAACACTATTAGATACTTGTACCTTAGCTTATTATATGTTAGGTCAATTATAACTATAATTGAACAGTGAAAAAAATACATCCACATTAAACTGTACTATCGTGAATATTTAACAAAGTAGAACAGAGAGAAATGTGAGATTTAAACATTCCTTTTGAATGTTTTTGACAGTGAAATCATGACTTGCTTATTTCTCAGACTGTAGATAATGGGGTTCAACACAGGAATTATGACAGTATAGAATACAGAATCCATCATATCTTGATCATTTACTTGTGGAGATGCAGGGCGCACATACATGAAGAGGAGGGGGCCGTAGTACAAAGACACAGATAAAAGATGGGCTCCACAGGTTGAGAAGGCTTTCCTTGTGCCTTTGGCAGATTTCTTTTTTAAAATTGTAAAGAGAACAAGTGTATAAGACACAAGAACCGTCAAAATAGTAAATACCTGAATTGAACCAGAGAAAATGAAAACAATTAAATAATTAATAGAAGGGTCAGTACAAGAAATCTTAAACAAGGATATAATGTCACAATAAAAGTGATGTATTGTGTTGGAATTGCAGAATGTTAATCTGCATAAAAATCCTTCATGAATTAAAGCATGAAGAAATCCACTTACAAATGATAAGACTAATAGACGGATGCATAGTCTATTAGTCATTATCACTGGGTAGAGTAAAGGGTTGCATATGGCTACACACCGATCATAAGCCATTGCTGCTAAGAGAAAACATTCTGTGGTTGCACTGGTATTAAATGAAAAAAATTGTACCATGCATTGGGACAGAGAGATGGTGTTAGTCTTGGCTAAGAAGTTGACCAGCATCTTTGGAATTACAATGGATGATATAGAAGTATCAACAAAGGCTAAACTGCCAAGAAAAAGGTACATGGGGATGTGAAGTTGAGTGTCATTGCAGATGAGAGCAATCAGTCCAAGGTTCCCCACTATGGTGATGAGATATACCACCAAGAACACCAGGAATAGCGGGATTTTCCACTGTGGTTGATGTGTAAGTCCTGTGAGAACGAACTCTATCAGCAATGTTGCATTTTCTTTTTCCATGTCCTCACTGGATGTCCTCTGAAATGAAATGTAATAGGTGTAAAAGCATTCACTAGGATTTTTAAAGTGGAAATTGGAGAAGTAGAGTTCTAATAAAAGCATATATTTAACAGAATGCCCTTTTAATTTTATTTGATACTATTATAATTAATGGAAACATTCAGAAATTTAAAAATAAAATAATCAAACCATTTCACTTCAAAATGAGCATAAATTAGCATATTTGAAAAAAACAAGATTTCTTCTAAGCATGTGCTGCATTTATGGAGAGAATGTTGACAAGGTAGGAAACTCCTATGTCTGGGTCATGGATGCAGGGTCAAGGAAAGAGATATTTAAAGGTCCTATAGGACAAAATGACAAGTATCTTATCAATTGGAATATACTGACAAATTTTTGCTCACTGAAATGCTAACATAAGTACTGTCATTGGAAGTATTTTAAATATATATTTAAAAAAGTAATGTGGTAGTGATGAAAATGGGCTGCTCAGAAGGGAAACTGCCATCAGAAATATTATCAGAAAGCTGTTATCATTGCCCAGGCTCCTAAACCAGATTGAGAGCATGTGTATAAAATAGCTGTGGCCTATTTGTGTAGAAACTGATTCAGTATTTTTCAAATGGAGTCTAATGATCAGTATTTAAAAACATTCTCCAGGTCATTCAAATGCATGTGAAATTATTAAATTATTATTGATGGACATTGAAAGTAGTGAGGTAATCAAAGAGACAAATTAAAACAATAAAGTCATGAATATAAAGTGACATATGTCATGTATAGGGGATGGTGCATGAAGCATAGATGAATCACTTAGTAACTGTGTAGACACTAAAAATTGAAAGCAAAAACTTACATGCATTAGCAATGCTGTAAAAAGAACATCTGCTGAAAATGCGAGTGATTCATACTTAGAAGCATGAAGTGACTACTAAAGCTTAACAATGATGATGATGTAGAAGTCATAGGACTTGAATTATAGACAACATATCCATTACTGAGAATACAAAGAAAAGAGAACAAGGACAAAGAAAAAGCTAAGGAGCCTATATTTAAACAGCTATAATGGGGAATGGAATTCACTTATTATATGGTAAACACTTGATCCCCTTTCTAGCACATAATCTTGCTCTCAGACAAATGAATATCAGCTACTATAAAAGTCAAAGAACTAGAAAGTAACTTTTTCATCAAGGGGGATATACAGTGAAGGCATTTGACCTAGACTGAAATCCATCAACACTAATCTTGATTTGGAATATGAAGAGAGGGGAAAAAAAGATACAAATACTAAAAATACTTTCACTGCCAAACACAGCAATACCAAGTCTCCATCAAAAGCATCTTGCATCCGTAAAAATGGCTTTACCAATGTCTGGTATGATATCTGAAATCTGGCAGCACTTACAATTCACATTGAACTAGTGTGTTGGGACCTGGTTTGGGATATTGATTGACTGCCACATGTCTTTCTGTTTTTCCAGCTGCAAGGTCAATGCCTCTAGAATTTCTAAGATAGATCAATTTCCACTCAATAAAATATTTTCTTGTTAAAAACAAGAACCCATGTCACTCCAGTGACAGACAAAAGAGAGACAAAAATGAATATCAAGCAGAGTATAACAGGAAAGTTGAGGTTTGTGATCCTAAAGAGATAAAACATGGAACAAAGTAAAGTTCACATCCAGAAACCAAAGCACATATTGTAGTAGCACAGAAGTTAGTAGAGACTACTGAGAGGTAAAATTAAGAGACTTTTAGTGGGTATGGCAAGTTGTCAATATGTGATAGGGATGAGGTCAGAAAATAATAGAAAGTGAGTGGGAAGCCAATTACACCACAGTGAAGTGAAAGATGTAGAGTATTCTAAGAAAAGTGGAAGACAGTGTTTTTCTTCTCTTCATAGGGTAAGTACTGTAATGTTTTTCTGTACCTATAGAAGAACTTAGTAAAAGATGTTAAACAAGAGAATAAATAAGTGAGGGAATAGAAAAGGAAGGCATTACAAGAAGAAAAGCATGAGAGAAGGAGAAAGGGAAATTTAGGTGAAAAGAGAAAAAAAGTAAAAAGAAATAGGCAGAGTATAACAAGGATACAGATGGATGAGTATAGGAAATATGGATCAAAACCAAGAGGAGAACATAGACTGAAAATGAAATGAAGAGCAAGTCTTAAATGCTTGAGGAAAAGCATTTGTCTAACCATGTGTTCTTTGACTATTGATAGTCCTGAGAATATTTTATTTCCTATCTGTGTGAGTCAAAATATATTTTCCTATAAAATGTATTTCCTGTATTTTCTTGTAGGCTCTTTTTCTATATATATACACATGTAGAATATATGCACATATATATAATTTTTCCTACATATCTACATATATTTTGTACATATATACGTAGAAACATCTACATATGTAGAAGACATAAATTTTTCTACATGTATGTGTATAAAAATCTACATATATTTTTTATTCTTCATATATATGTATATAAATGAACACACTATTAACATAAGAGGAAGAATGTATACAGGAATTAATTTCTAAGTCACTGAGCTTAAAATTTTTAATCAGCAAATGTTATTTAATAAACAGAAATTTCTTTTTATCTGAGAAACTGCTTATATAGGAATGATAATGATTGGAACCTTTAAAATCAATTTTAAATTGTCATTTCAATTCATAAGAACTTAAAAGTCTTAGGTAGCTAAATAATAAAACATCCTTAAAAGGAAAAACTCAGATTAAGTTATTTTGCTTATTGATATTTAACAACTAAATAAAATATACAGATAATTCTTTCTGTAGTTGTTGCTGTTTGCATTAATCCCAACTATGTTGGAATCCCATAAGCCAGATACAAAATTATTACAAATTAAACAGCATTTTAACACATTAAATATAAAGATATATATTATGGAAAACATTTATCTCTTACTCATATGTGAAAAGAAATGATGGACTTTCTTAAAAACTGTTGGACTTTCTAAAACAGAAAATAAATATAATAGGTGAAGAATAGCTCTATCATAGGTAGCAATTCTTTTCCCAGTGATTCACTTTGTAGATTTCATTAAGCAAGCACAGAAAATTGTTGTTTATATAAACATTGTTTCACACAAGATTCAACCAATTGTACAACTGTGTGCTTTCTCCAGAAGAAGAAAAATTGGAGAACTGAAATTCCCATAGGAAGCATGAGGGTTCCCTGTGAGACAATGTGAAGTTCTCCTGCTGGGCACTGTGGATCTGGACAGATAAGAGAAGTCCCAATGGTCAATAGTGCATTACAAATATTAAAATAATAAATACTTTCCACTTGTTCAAGGTATACTGTATACATGTATGGAATTATCACAATGAAATCCCTATGTATTATTGATGTATGATAAATCAAAAATAAAATATTTTAAAAAATCATTTATCTGCACTTACTGCACTTGACTGATTTTAACAATTAAAATTATACCTTATGTCATTCTTTCCAATAACAGATGATACATATGATATGTATGGCATGTTCAGGCAAACTTTATATATACAAGAGCTTTGATTAGTATGGTTTTGTCTGAGCTAATCACAACATGTCTTTAACAAGGCCAGTGATCTAGGTTTGCTTCAGGAGTCAGTCCAAACTAAAGATGCCTTTCTCATTCAATTATAGCTTAAATTGCAGGCATAGACCTAGCACCCCACTATTCTGACATATGAAGAGAAATCCTACTAGGCAAAGGGAAAGAAGAAAGGAAAGCATAAACAAAAGCCTGCAGTGGACAGTGTCCTGTATCTGATCATCCCTGGGGATCTTGCTAAAGTACAAATTCTGCTTCAGTGGATGTAGGCCACGCACAGCAATCTCGCTTTAGAGGAAGGAGGTCATCCTTCATCAGAGAAGGACCAAGATTATTAGAGAAACTCAAATGTTCAGAAACCAAAAATTCTAAATGTGATGGGTTGTGAACACAGAACCAGGGAAGGGTCAGATGTATCAGGAAAATTGCATAGATAAGATTACATAGAAGTTCGTGGAAAATTCAGGACTATGTAGTTATTCCAACTTAGAGGAAAACTCTAAAAGAATTTTTAACACGAGAATAACATTCTCAGGGAGTGTTAATGAAGGAGATGAAGGTAAGGGAATATGGTGGAGGGGCTTCATGTACATACATGAAATAGAACAATGAAACGTCTTACAACTGCTTTAAGTGAGGTGGTAAGGGACTTGCCAGGGGAAGATAGTAAGAGGCAATCTAATCAATGTAAAATGTAAGGCTACTGGCACAATGAATCCCCTCATACAATGAATATATGCTAATAAAATGAAAAAAAGAAAATGTGTGGTAAAAGTAGGCCTTAAGTAACATGGACAAAAAAAGAAAGTAACATGTTCCGATTTTTCCTTCTACTATGAACAGTAAAACATCAATAAACATGCATTAAGAAAAGTATTTAATTTACTTGTTTGTAGCATTTAGATTTTTATGTCTGAGTAGTAGTATGGGACTATCTATTCAGTAACAGATTGTTTCTTTTACCTCAACCTCAACCTAGAAGAAAAGGGTAAAGCAATGTGCATATTTTTGAAAGACTCATTAAAATCAGTTATCTGGAGTCCAGAGAAAAGCATATCATACCAAAAGTGGTGCCTCTATTATGCCAAAATAGAGAATAAACAATATGATGTGAAGAGGCAGCTATTAGCCAAATTTTAACTTAAAGTGATAAAGTTATGTGTGATTGCATGATAATCTCTTAATCCACTTTGTTGGGTATATTTGAGAACAAAAATTTTACATTAATATTTTCAGGTTGAATAATATTTTACAGGTACACACTTTAAATGTGAGCTTCATAACTCATTGAGGTTTGAGTTTGCATTTACCAGATGACTCAGAATGTCTAGCATGTCTTTGTGTTATTATTTGAAAAGTGTCATTATCACTGGATAGAATAAAGGATCGCATATGGCGGCATCGTGATGATAAGCCATTGCTGCCAAAAGAAAACATTCTGTGGTTAC